CCAGGAATCTTGTTCTTGAGCTTTTGTTGGATTTTTTGACTCCTGCCTCGGCGCCTGTGAACCCCCAGCCTCTGTGCCTGTGAACTTTAATTAAACCACTTAAAATTCATCTCAAGCCTACTCGTCTCTGCATTTGGGTCCTCAAACCAACACCACCTAATCCTGACAGAAGGATCCAGCCAAACATGGACCCCGCAGAACCAATCCAGGCAAGTCAATTTATAAAACTCTTCAGACAGAAAATAGAAGATCTCTCCACAATGTCTCCACCCTGGGAGCGGATAGGAACAGCCAGAACACTCCTGACCCATCTCAATAAACTTCCAAAACTCCAGACTTTCTTTTTACACACCGGACACATAAATCTGATTAAATGGAACATTCAGGACACCCATTCTAAATTATCTAATAAACCTTCTCCACCCAAACTACCTCTCCAAGACCTCTCCCTGCTTCTATCAACCCCTGAACCAGTACCTCCACCTCCAGCAGCTGTTGGTTCCCCCCTGCGTTCTGCTACCTCCAGGCGTAGGAACCGCCACCGGGGCAAGAAGGCCGCTCCCTCTCCGGCGGGTCAGCCTGGCGCTTCCACTATCTCTCCAGCGGGTCGGTCTGACGCCTCCACTCCCTCTCCGGCAGGTCTGTCTGACACCTCCACTCCCTCTCCCGCGGTTCAGCCAGCTGCAGGTCCCAGTCCCCTTCCTCACAGGTCAGTTCCACCCGTTTCTGTAAACACCTTCTAGACCAACAGTTAGCACCATCCACCAGAAGACTCAAACTAGGTCCACTAGTCACACCTCAAGCAGTCAGAGCTCCCCATATACCAGAGTCAGATCTCTGGGGTTTCTTTTATGGGGAGAGGGAAGATCTTTTCCCTTTCCTGCCACCTCCATCAGCTCCCCGCCACCCAGATCCCGGTTCAGAGCCTGTTAGCATTTTTGTTTCTTTAGCTTTTGAGCCTGTCAGCGTTCCAGTTTCCCCAGCTCCAGCACTCGTTAGCCTTCCAGTTTCCCTAGCTCCTGGGCCCGGTAGTGATCCAGTTTCTTTAGCTTCAGAACCCGTTAGCGAACCAGTTAGCCTAGCGCCTGAACCTGTTAGCGAACCAGTTAGCCTAGCGCCTGAACCCGTTAGCGAACCAGTTAGCCTAACGCCAGAACCCGTTAGCGAACCAGTTAGCCAAGTGCCTGAACCCATTAGCGAACCAGTTAGCCTAGCGCCTGAACCCGTTAGCGAACCAGTTAGCCTTGCACCTGAGGCCGTTAGCAGGCAAGTTAGCCTAGCTACAGAGACCCCTGAGCCTGCTCTGTGCCGTCCAGAGACCCCTAAGCCTGCTCTGTGCCATCCAGAGACCCCTGAGCCAGTTTGCAAAGAGGCTTCAGAGTTCGGGGTATGTGGAAGTAGGCCTCCAAGAGTCCCTCAGCGGGCGCGCCAAGCCTCCATAAGCCCTCTGCGGGCGCTCCAGGCCTCCAGGAACCCTCTACGGGCGCTCCAAGCCTCCAAGAGCCCCCTGCGGGCGCTCCAAGCCTCCAAGAGCCCTCTGCGGGCGCTCCAGGCCTCCAAGAGCCCTCTGCGGGTGCTCCGAGCCTCCATGAGCCCTCAGCGGGCACTCCAAGTCCCCTCGGAGGCTGTACCTGTGCCGCAATGGGCGGCCCCCTCCATGGTGGTTCCTGTGCCACAGTGGACGTCCCCTCTGAGCCTGTTCCTTAGCCGCAGCGGTGGCCCCCTGTGAGCCTGTTCCTGAGCTGCAGTCGGCGGCCCCCTCTGAGCCTGTTCCTAAGCCGCAGTGGGCGGCCCCTTCTGAGTCTGTTCCTGAGCCGCAGTCGGCGGCCTCCTCTGAGCCTGTTCCTGAGCCGCAGCGGTGGCCCCCTGTGAGCTTGTTCCTGAGCCGCAGTCGGCGGCCCCCTCTGAGCCTTTTTCTGAGCCGCAGTCGGCGGCCCCCTCTGTGCCGGTTCCAGAGCCGCAGTCGGCGGCCCCTTCTGTTCCTGTTCCTGAGCCGCAATCGGCGGCCCCTTCTGAGCCTGTTCCTGAACCGCAGTCGGCGTTCCCCTCTGAGTCTGTTCCTGAGCCGCAGTGGACGGCCCCCTCAGAGCCTGTTCCTGAGGCGCAGCGGTGGCCCCCTGTGAGCCTGTTCCTGAGCCGCAGTTGGCGGCCCCCTCTGAGCCTGTTTCTGAGCTGCAGTCGGCGGCCCCCTCTGAGCCGGTTCCACAGCCGCAGTCGGCGGCCCCTTCTGTTCCTGTTCCTGAGCCACAGTCGGCGGCCCCTTCTGAGCCTGTTCCTGAACCGCAGTCGGCGGTCCCCTCTGAGTTTGTTCCTGAGCCGCAGTGGACGGCCACCTCAGAGCCTGTTCCTGAGCCGCAGTGGTCGGCCCCCTCTAAGCCTGTTCCTAAGCTGCAGTTGGCGGTCCCCTCTGAGCCTGTTCCTGAGCCGCGGTCGGCGGTCCCTTCTGAGCCTGTTCCTTAGCCGCGGTCGGCGGCCCCCTCTGAGACTTTTGCTGAGCTGCTGAAACGGAGGTGGTGTCCTCCTCCGAGGTTCCTGCAGCAATGGAGACGTCGTCCTCCTCCAAGGTTCCTGCAGCAACGGAGACGTCGTCCTCCAATGGCTCCTGACCCGCGGCCGGCATCCAGAGACTCTGCCTTGCCTCCGGCCCCGCGGCTGGCCTCCAGAGCATCAGCCACGCCTCCGGCCCCCCGGCCGGCCTCCAGAACGTCTGCCACGCCTCCGGCCCCACGGCCGGCCTCCTGAGACTCTGCCTCACCTCCAGCCCCGCGGCCGGCCTCCAGAACGTCTGTCATTCCTCCGGCCCCGCGGCAGGCCTCCAGAGACTCTTCCTCATCCACCTCTTGAGACTTTTTGTTGCCCTCGCCCACCCTGGGTGGGTCTTTTTTTGTTGTGGACTCTGTTTTGTGTTTTCTTGCCCTCCTCACCTGGTTCCCCCTCCGCCCACCCTGGGTGGGTTGTTTTTTGTTTTGCTGGGACTTTTCTGGGGGCGTCTGGAATCCGCCCTTGAGGGGGGGATTACTGTTAGGTTTCTGTTTCTGTTATGTTTTCTTTTGCTCCTTGATTTCAAGTGTTTAGTTTTCTTTTCACCATGTTTCTTTATTCCTAGTTATTTGATTATTATTTTGTTGTTGTTTTGTTATTAGTTCCTGTCTTCCAGCTTTTCATTTGTTATCCTCTGCTGCCCTCTTGTGTCCTCTTTCTCTTGCTCTGTTTTCTGTTCAGCTCTCACCTGTGTTCAATTCCCTCATTAGCCCTCTTCCTGTCTCTGTCCCCTTTAAAAGCCCTCCCTCTTCAGTTCCTGTTTGCTGGATCCTCGTCTTACTTCTCTTCAACCTCTGAACAATCGTCTGTCTGCCTGCCTGCCTCATCTCTTCCTGGTTATTTGATTTTTGGTTTTCCCCTGATGTCTCCAAGAATCTGGTTCTTGAGCTTTTGTTGGATTTTTTGACTCCTGCCTCGGCGCCTGTGAACCCCCAGCCTCTGTGCCTGTGAACTTTAATTAAACCACTTAAAATTTATCTCAAGCCAACTTGTCTCTGCATTTGGGTCCTCAAACCAAGACCACCTAATCCTGACGCTTTCTTCTTTTGGTCCTATCTTGCTTTTCTTATCTTCCTGTCTTGAAGTCAGTGTATAGAGAATCTGCCTACATTTAACTGTGTGTGATCACGTTGTTGAGGGTTGCCACCTATTGTTACCAAGCTAAGATACACCCATCTGTATAGTTTAACCCCGCTTTTGGCTCACATGATAGGAGCAGCCATTTTGGTGACTTTGTTGCTGCTTGAGATTGGTTGTAACATGCTGTTGTGTTGCTAATGCATTTTTATCCATTTAAGCTGAATTATTTATGTTGTTTTAACTGCACTATTTTTATCATCATATCTGCTGCTATTTCCAACTGGACACTATTGAATGCATTAATATGTGGCTTATATAGGATAATCTCAGAAACCAGTGAAATGAACTCTTAGGATTTTTTTTTCTCTTTCTGTTAAAACTAGTAATTTAGTCTACCTTGTGTTTATTTTCTAATCATGTAGTGTTTTGCATAGATGTTAAAATTTCTGTAATTCCTGAATTATTAGAATAAATCGTTATTGTTACTTGCAGTCGTTTGTGTTTCATATAAGAATGGTTTATCACTAAGGCTAGATCCACCCTCATTTTGGTGACAGTTTGAATAAACAGAGTAAGTTCTACGATTGATAAAATAATAGCTGTGCTGATAGCCTAGCCTAAGTCACTAAATTTGTGTGAATAACTGGATTTTAAAAGCCAATCCAGTAGCCAAAGGCACAAACCCTGGTAAGTGAGCAGATTAGAGCTATAGTTATTCAACTGAGAACACCAATATGATTTTACCTCCGATTTTGAATAAGTCAAATAATTAACTACAATTCCAGTTCTAGTTAATCATTTATTCATAATCTACAGGATATATATTATTCCACAACAAAGACATAACCAAAACCTGTCAGCTGATACTGTTTAAATGAGTGAAAGATACAAAAAGGGACATTTTATGTTTACACAATAAAAGGAACATACAAAAAAAATTATGTTTACCTACATAGGCACCCTTCTGCAGCCTATAATCAACTGTATATAAAATCATATATACTTTTAGTCAGCATGGTGGATCTGATGAGTAATAATGAAAACTGGGTGGAGCTAGGCAGGTGGAAGAACTGAACCAATAACCTATTCAACTGTACCAAGATCATGAAAATAAAGTTTTAGACTCTTAAGTTTAGGGAAAAGTTTCTCTGTATCTATTTTTCTTGATCTGTTTATTAATTTATTTATAGATATTAAAATTCCACATATTTTAGTTAGTAGTTATGACAAGAGCTATGACAAAATATAATTTGAGTAAAGATTCAACAGACTTTTTGTTCCTGTTCCTGACATCCTCCTAATGTCTGAAGGTATACTACCATGTTGGCTACAGGAGGTTTCTGAGCAACTCAAAAAGCTTTATCATAATCATTGGTGTTCCTGTGAATTGGAATTTGATTACACCTCGAACACAATTGTCTTGTCAAGAATCAAAAATCGATTTCTTAGTTATGAGACCAAATTAAATGAACTACAGACATTTGGCTCAGAGTACAGCATATAGGAAATAGACAGAAATGAAAAACATCTATAAAAGGAGAAAATTGGGCATAAGGACCCCCTTAAAAAAGTTACCCCAACCTACTACCTATTAACTAAATGGGTACGTGATCTTGTTTGTTTGTAAATCAGCAGAGTTTAAATTTTACTTGTTTTAGGTTTGGTGTCTCTCTTGTCAAGTTGTTCCTATCATTTGTGGCATACAAAGAAAAAAAACAAAAAAACGCCCTACTTATGTATGAAGAGATGTTGTGTTGTCCTCCTGTTCTCATGCAAGACGATGACAACAAAAACACATTGTGCTTATTGTTTTTGGTGCTTACTTTGTACAATTATCTCTTTGAGGGGATTAAACATTTCTCTCATTTCATAACATGAAAATGTGTTGTTGTTATCCAGTTATACCGGTGCAGTAGATTCCACTGTAAGGCAAGGCACACAGTTTACTAACAAGGCAATTATTTCAATGATGAAAACATGAGGAAGGTAAACTTTTTAAAGCCAAAAACTCTCAATATCCTTGGTGCCATTTTTTTGGCTTTAGCACCCACATTAGCATCTACTATTGTTTGCTGATCATCTGAGTCTTAAATGTGAACATAAAAGGCTGAGCACCTTACAGCGGCATTATTTCTTTTGGCAGTGTTGGAAAAACTCCAACAGAATGAAAATATCTAGAATGATAAAACTTAAAGCTACAATTATTGTATTATTTCTACATGTTATTATAAAACTAATAAAAATACATGGCAATAAATAAAAAACAATACATATTTTAAGTTGAACAAATCGAACAAATAGAAAGCTGCTCTTTTATGGTGGTTCAACATTATATTTTAGGTCTGCACTCCAGTTGCACATATACTGTTTGATATTGTTTTGTTCTAAGCGGTTCACTCAACCAGCCAAACTGGAATAGATTAAAATAGGAGCATGACGGGTTAGAGGACAACAACCAGTGAATATACGGGACAGGCAAGACGAAGAACAGCAGAGAACTCTTCGGTTGGATTTCGATCCCTTTTCAAATATGGACGGTCAGTTGCAAATAATTAAATATTACATGGCTGGAAAAAAGCTGGGGACATTTTATCTGACTGAAAATAGATCTGTTTTTCTGGTCATCTAAAACTGTTCAGAATACTGTGAAATTATTTTTTAATTGTATTTATTGGGTCTTTTGTTGCTTTAAAAATAAAAGAAACAAGTGTTAAGTTAATAATGTTTCTAACAGTTCACAAACTTAATCAGTTAAAATAGTTCATGGATAAAGACCATGAATAGTAACTCAGTCCCATTTGTGTGTGTGGATTAAAACTGAATTGCATGTCAAAACTGGCTAAAATTGGCTCAGTTTTCAGATTTGGGCCATGAAATACTTTGTAGCAGATGGTCAGGTGATAGTCTTTACTTTCTTGGGTTCTCTATTTTAAATATAAATCTATACATAATCTTAGCCAAATTCTATATTATGACATTATTTTCATTTTGCATGCTTTATGTATCTTTTTAAACCAAAGAGGGGCATTCTGCTACCGTTAAGCATAATCTTTTTCCAAATACTTACTATATTGCAATCAAACATAATTGCAGTTTTATTGTAATTATTTTTGATATTATTAGTTGAAATATTATTTTTTATTTGCAAGTTTTTACTTTTTTCCACACAACAATGATCTACAAATCTATTCCACAAATTAGTGATGGGTGATTAATATGTGGAGGAGTATATTATTGACTCCCACCTTATTATCTAAGAATACCTGGAATGAGGACGTCGTCATGGACTTTTTCATTTTTGGCCTTAATGAAAGATTTAGGTATGAACTTTCTCTGCTGAGCCTTACCAGACTCTCTGCTTCCCTAGATTTCCTGCTTTCAGGGTCTGTTTTGGTTATTTCCAGGACTAACAACCCTTCTGCATCCATGGACTTGAATCATGTTGGTATTCCCCCTCAAATGTCTGAATCTGAACCTAAGATTTTTCTATCGGGATAGGGAATACCTATTTCCCTTCCTACCACTTCCTTCTGTTTCCTGTCAGCCAACGCCAAAAGTGGCGACCTGAGAAGCTCTTGTTTTTTCCAGGTGGACCACTTTTCTGAGACATTCCCTTTACTACCTGTAACACGGTTGTTACTTAAAAGATCTAAAAGCAAGTTTAGCTGAGGCAAAAATGTATGCATATGAACCTAAATGTTACAAGGTTTGCCTACCCACAGAAGAGGTGAAACGAATGAGACTCTGACGAAGGGGTAAAGTTGGAAATTGTTGGCTTGTAATTTTTTATCTGTGTGTAAAGAAATTTGTAGAAAAACCAATGAAGAACAAGAAAAAAAATTAAAAACTTCAACAAAAGGTTCCCTTCTGTTTTTCTTGGTACCAAAGAATCGACATTAATGGATGTCCCACATTCACAACGGTTATTTTCAATCCTTACCTGGGTTAGCTATGACACATTTCTTTAGGGGATAATCTTTCACCAAGATCTTTAGGAAATGTAAGTATTTACACACGGCTATGTATGAAATTCAGATTTTTTTAAATGATTTTTTTAATATGAATGTTACTTTAAATTTTTTGACATATCAAAATAAAACAATACCTACCCCTCATGACTTGAGAAAGATAGGTTGCTATATAATGAATTATAACACACACAGGGTCATAATAGCAAGCCTTCTTAAGTATAATTCACAACCCTGGCAATTAGAAACACAATGTTAAATCAATCCAATTCAATTCCTGCTTTCCTAACTTCTGTGATCTGGTAGGGTTTCAAACATCACAATTAATTAATAAAGCCAGAAATCAACAGCTGCCAGAGGCATACAAAACGATTTGTTTAGAAGTTTTAAATACAGTGATAATCTAACTGTCAAAATATTTTCTGTTCGTGCAAATATGAAAATAATGTATATTTTAATAAACAATGTTTAAACCCAATGTTGAATTAAAACAATGTGCAAACATAAGAATTTTTAACAAAAGTCTCCAATTTGTTTTCTTGAAAAGTTATGAGTTATGTGGTTAACATCAATAGGTACTCTTAATCAATGAAGATGGGTATATACATGCTTTTGCAATGATTATGTGGGCTAATGGTAATAATTTAATAATAGAATATTTTTTTAGGCCTTTGTGAACGCATTTATATGTACATACATTTATTTCCTCAGTTATTGGAATTTTGGAGCAGTATGGGCTCATAAAATAAATTGGAATTGGGAATATTGCTGGTGTTACGAAATATAGGAAGGTAATGGGGTATGATTAAATGAGTTTGACTTCTTCATAACCCTTTCAGACAAAAAATTTTTATGTCATTAATTATAATATTTGCATGTACATTTTTTATGGTTTTTATGGAATAGGTATTCATTCATTCTTAGGGTGGCCATTTCTATAGCACCAAAAACGAGGACATTGTGCGGCATATTAATAAATTACTAAGGTGTACATAAGAATAAGGTAAAGTCAAATTTATAATACAAATCTTAGTAGTTTAAAGAGGATACTTGTGTAGATGAATAGAAAAAAAATTAAAGAAATGTAAAAAAGAATTGGTTCCCAGCATTTGTATTTATTTAATACATTGTGATGTTTAAAAAGTGACCACCGAGATTAATCTTTAAAGTGCAGAATACCACAAAGCAAAAGATGTGTGGACTTTAACGTTAAAAAAATCTTTTTATAAAGAAACATTCATAATAAAATAGCCTAATATATTTTTTAAACAACAAAAGAGATTTTAGAAAACACATCAAACTGCTCTAAAAGTATAGCTTTATTTTTAAGAGCCTCTTTTGGGAACTTATCTTAAGTGTCTTGTGTGTGCAGCAGACCTGTCTTTATGGTCATCCCTTTAGCTATGGGCGAATCACTGAAATCCACTTTCACGTCACAGTCTACACTTACGTAGGACTAGTGGTGTTTTATAGTATTGTCCACTTTGCAGCTCTCCCCAAGTTATTTTAGCATCCGGGGGCGACAACACTTAATGTAAAAGCCAACACTGAAGAGTCTGCTGCTGCACGTTTATTACTTTTATGTTAATCCGTACTTGCAGGCCATTCAATTGCAGCTTTTCCTCGACTGCTTATGCTCACATCGCATCGACAAAGTGGCAGAAACCATGGAATGAATCTCCACTACCTTTGGTCATAAGTTCACGCTCTTTTGTCTATTCTGGGTTAAACGATGTCCTGGTTTTGACAGAATGCTAACTTTAGCACTTAGCATCAGTTATTCTGATCCTTGTTTACTTTTGTAATCAATAACAAGCAGATCTTTATCTGACATGCCGCCACTCTTAGTCAGTCATCTGTTAGATCAGATAGTGATGCATTTTTGATGATTGGATATCGTGCTACAGCCCAGCAAAAAAGTAAAATTGAATAAATAAAAATCTGATCAAATAGCCTAGTGCCTCATAAAGGACGACAAATACACATCCGGCTGGATGCGGCGCCGGATGTCAGACATTGCAATGAAAATCCGGACTGTCCGCCCTAAAGCCGGACATATGACTACCCTATTCATTCATAAATAAAACAGAAAATGAACAGCTAGTATAGTATAGAGAACCGTAATATAGAGAACTAAAAGTAGTGGTAACATTCACAATATTGTACAACTGATGTTGACATATTTCCCTGACATTCTTTACGTAACTTTTTTGTTTTATACAGAACAAACACAGATGAAACACAAGCAGGAGCATCCTACAGTTAAAGTGATCCACTAAAATGAAATTCAGAAAAGGCATTTTAACATCTTTACACCAGAATCATTATGAGGCAAATATTTTGACATCGGATTAGATAGAATAAAAGTCTGAAAGCTGTTGACACTGTTTTATAAAAACCTTATGAGTGATGTTTTACCAGTAATAGTCAGGGTCACAATTTTCTAAGGTTAATACTGAGCTTTGCTGACCATGAGTTAAAAAAGAATGTAATGTTTCCTAACTTTTCCCTATCTTGTCCTCTAGTTTCTGACGAACAGAGGATTGTCCTCTTGGGAAAAACTGGATCTGGGAAAAGCAGCTTGGCTAATACCATATTTGGAGAAGAGGTCTTCAAGATAAACCATTCGTCCATTTCTGAATCGAGTCTTTCACAACGAGAAACCAGGTCTGTCGATGGCAGGAACCTCACTGTGATTGACTCTCACAGTGTTTTTGACACATGTGGCTCTGAAGTCCTGCTTAAGAAAGAGATGGAGAGGTGCATCACTGAGTGTGATCCTGGACCTCATGGTTTTCTCATTGTTCTTAAAGTTGAGAAATTCACACAACAGGAGAAAGATGTGATCAAAGAAATATGTGAACAGTTCTCCGAAGATGCTCTGAAATTTGCTGCCATTGTCTTCACCTTTGGAGAACAGCTCCCAGACGGATGGAGAATTGAGGACTTTGTCCAGTGCAATGAAGAACTAAGCTCACTGGTGAAAAACTGTGGAGGCAGGTGCCATGTTGTTGACAATAAATACTGGAATCGTAACACAGGAGACATTTACAGAAACAATCAGATTCAAGTGGCAGAGATACTGAGAACAATAGACAAGATTAGTGAGGCAAATGGTGGAATGTACTACACTAATGAGATGCTGCAAGCAGTCAAAAAGCACATAGAGATAGAGGAGGAAAAAATTAGACAGTCAACCAATCAGTCACCAAATGACACTAGAGACAGGGCTAAAAGTACAGTGCCTAATGGGTTAATGATACTGATAGTGGGTTCTGCAACAGGTGCAATGGTAGGGGCCTTTCGTGGTAATTCAACTCCTCAAGACGCTCTTTATGGAGCCTTAAAGGGAAGTCAGCTGGGATACATTGCAGCTGCAGAAGCAAAAACTGTAGTGGATGCAATTCTCAAAGCCGCACAAGCTGCTTTGTTGGGTGAGTGTAAAAAATAAAAACCAAGAGAAAGACTCAAAGAACAAAGGGAAACCTGTGACAAAATTATTATTTTCTTGTTTAAATGTGTTGAACATTGAAAGCAGTGTAAAAGATGGAGATTTGACCTAATAGGAGATTCCTCTAGCAATAGATGTGTTATATAGATATAATTTACTTTTTGATTGCTTCTTTTTAGTTGCTTTAAGCACCACACTGGAAAATCATAGTAACATAAACACATTAGGTAGGTGGCGCTAAAGTGTATAATAGGTTAGTAAAGGAGAGCCGGTGTGGAAAGAAAAAAAACAAGGGCCTGAGTTGTTCCATTACATATTTTAGAGCTGCAGATATATAGTAAACACCTAAAGATAATTACACCCAACAATACTTAAGGGGAATTTTGAGATACACAGGAAAATATATAGCTGCTTTGCAGCTACTATTCAATGTTTATTAAAATTAATTTAATTGTTTTGTTTTGTCTTTAGAATTGCTCTTTGCAATGTTTTAATTGAACAAAAAAAGGGTGTGTGTTTAACTGTGTTTCTTAATATTTTTGCTCATTGTTTTTATGGAAAAAAAAAACTTTTTAAGGCTTTAAATAATTTCTTCTTTTCATTATGTTTTATTATAGAATATGTACCTTTATCTTAATTGTATCTTTAGTCACTGGTTCATTTAATCTTTCATTATTCTTCAATATTACAAATCAAATATAATATTAAAATGTGATTAATAAATTGTTATTACAAGAAAAAAAGAAGCAACCAAACTTTGAATTTCTACCATTCAAACAACAAGTTATGGAGGCAACAAGTAGAGGACCATTTAATTAGTTAAAGAGTGAATCAATTCAACAAGAAATGTGCTTCTTTATGACTGTTTTTCCTCCTTGCTGTAACCAAATGTACTTAAAAATAATAATAGCGAGTATCCATGAAAAAGTTGCTATTTGGATTTGTAAATATAAATCTCAAATTAGGATTATGTAGATTATGCGGTAAGGGCTGCAAGACATGGGATCATATTAGCATTTCATCTGCTGATTTCAAAAGTTTATTTTTTCCCCCCTTTGTAATAAATACCAAGGGGAAAAAATAAACTTAAATCATTTCCTTAACCTTTTTTAAATATAGCCTTTAACCATAAAATACACTGCCTGGCTAAAAAAAAAGTCGCCACCAAAAAAAAAGGTCACTCACTCTAATACTTTGTTGGACCGCCTTTAGCTTTGATTACGGCACGCATTCGCTGTGGCATTGTTTCGATAAGCTTCTGCAATGTCAAAAGATTTATTTCCATCCAGTGTTGCATTAATTTTTCACCAAGATCTTGCATTGATGATGGTAGAGTCTGACCGCTGCGCAAAGCACTCTCTATCTCATCCCAAAGATTCTCAATGGGGTTGAGGTCTGGACTCTGTGGTGGCCAATCCATGTGTGAAAATGATGTGTCATGCTCCCTGAACCAGTCTTTCAAAATTTGAGCCTGATGAATCCTGGCATTGTCATCTTGAAATATGCCTGTGCCATCAGGGAAGAAAAAGTCCATTGATGGAATAACCTGGCCATTCAGTATATTCAGGTAGTCATATATATATATATATATATATATG